GTAAACAGGTGTGATAGCAATATCATTGTAAACTGGTGTGATAGCAATATCATTAGTACCAGCATTTGATAATTTCCAATTATTTATGAAATTCAGGAATGGGCAATATTTTAGAAAAAACAACAATAAAGTTTCATTTGTGCAGTATATTAGCTTGACATATTAGTTGACCGCCTGAAAAATTCATACTAATAGATTCTTTAAATGAACAAATGAACAAATGCGCATTTTATATTTTCACTATCTTAACAAGTTTAATTTCTAAAAAAAAAAAAATATGCAAATTTTAAACGTAGAAGTGCAAAAAAGTGCCTTTATACATTTGCATAACAATGAAACATAAAAATATTTGAGCTAAAGCTAAACATTCTTTAAAAACTCTCAAATTTCAATATTTTTATAAGAAAAAAAAGAACTTATAGGAGATTGTAATTAGATTATTGTAATTAATTAAAAATATTTTAAGCATTACCCTTTTGCAATCTGATGATTATTGCTTAGATAAATTAGCACTTGTAGAATGATTATGTTTGGATTTTGTCGAATGATTTTCCTTTGCTCTCATCGATGTTGATGATATTATTGGTGTAAAATTTGTTACCTGAAAGGTAGGCATGTAATAATTTCATAAGCTATCCTAATTAAATGTTTGATAAATCGTTTTCAAAAATTTCTAAAATGCTTAATATTTATTAACAGAATTATTTGTTTCAATTTATGTTTTAAATTTTAAAAGATTGAAAAATTAATTGATAAAAATTTAGCTGTTAATTTAATAAATGTTAATTTACAAACATAATTTTTGCTAATTATGAAATTCTTTGAAATGTTTTAAGAATTGCAAAAAAAAAAGAAAAACATTGCATATCTTTAAATTTTAAACTTTATTTTAATTTTTTTCCATTGTTTATTTTAAAACTTTTTTTTTTCAACTAAAATTTGATTATTCTTATCGTAAGCAATAATATAAATTGAAAGCTAAAATTTAAACATTCAAAAATTTCAAAAACTATTTAATTTATTCATTCCAATACGAAATGTAAATTTGATATTTTAATAACAAAGGAAAAAAAAATTTTTATGCAAAATTCTATTTGTTGAATTTTATGAATACAAAGTTTTCATTTTATTTTTTTATCAATGCTTAAAGTTTTAGATGCTACAATAATTGGTTACAATAAACTTGATGAGAATATTATTCATATTCTATTTCATATTTTTTATTAATTTACCTTTGTGTCACATTTTCCCGAAGCATTATCATCACTGTAATTTTTAGCGGTATTAGTAATAGTAGTACTGTAAGTTGAGCTTGAAGAACTTTTACTAGCAGATTTATCATCGTGAGATGATTGTGTTAGTTTTTTTTTGGATTGAGAAGAGTTTGAATTGATAATCATTTCTTCTAAAATAAATGTAGCTGTTTTGGTTCCTAATTCTGTTGATGAATGAAATGATACGATTGAACTTTCGCTGGAATTACTGGACATTTGTTCAGTTCCGGTTTCCTCAATGGATAGCTAAAATAGAATTGTTATTTGATAAAGTTAAGAAAAATTTCTAACATTTATAAGTTTAATTTTCAAATTAAAAAATTTTCAAAAATTTTGAAAATTTTAAATCAAAAACTTTTTTTTAAATTTTTAAATCAAAAATTTTTCAAATATGTATATTTTTTTCCTCTTTTTCAATCTTTTCCGACAAATTTAAATATTTTAAAATTAAAAAATAACACTTACTTGTGCCATAATCTCATCATTGATATCTCTCAATCTGCTTTTTCGTCCTTGCTTACCTTTCTTACCTTTTTTGTTATAAGACATCCTTCTTTAGCAAATAATTATTAATTTCTAAAATTAGTAGAAAGTATAGTTGACAAAAAAAAAGAAAAAAGGTCATCATTTTTAACCACAACTTATCATATCATTCATCCATGTTTTCTTTTTTTTTGTTCAAACATATTTAATC